CTAAGATGTGTCTGGGAATGGAGGTGGCTACCTAATTACCTCCTTTCTCCCTTATCCACTGTTTATCAGTTGCCCTTCAGCAACTTGACTCACTGTTTGTGATGGTGGTAATATAGGAAATTGCCCTGTGCTTCTCACCAGGTGTGGTTCCCAGGACAACCTTACTCCCCACCTCTCCCCACCTTGTGCTCTTGCAGTTGAGGATATAGGTCAATAAGAGTAGGTGGGTGAGAAAGAACAGAGAAGAGACTCATCCAGACATGACACCCGCAGGGCAGCAGTGACAACACTTGAACCTGAAGACTGCCTGAAAATAGACTGTGTCTATGACATTATGCAAATCATATGCAAAGTCAAGAAGCCCTCTGTCTCTATTTCTAGCAAACTGAATGTGGCCCTGGTAGAAGCAGCGTGTACCAAGAAGTCGCCCACCCAAAGTGCTGATTGCATAGCTAGTGCCAGTCCCAGCCCTGAGACAATGGACTTGGGATGGGGAACCTCACTGCACCCCAGAATGGGCCTTCTAAGCATGAGGGCTTTGTTGTCCCTTGGGCTATTGATCTGAATATGTAGGAGGATCTAGAGGAAGAAGAATACTCTCCTTGCAGGCTAGTGTGAGGCAGGACTGAAGGAGGCTGGTGCCTGGGAAGGCATAAAGAACTGCCCTACATAATCTAGGTACTACCACAAGGCCTCAGCAGAGGAAGGAATGGGCCTCAGCATCAAGGCTCACCTGCAAGAGCCTCCATCACCCCTCTTCAGCATCCAACCACATATCAGCCCTCTGGAAGGGCCTTTGTCACAAGATTATCCCTCCCAGTTGCATAGGAAAGTTGGAAGCTGAGGTCGCCTGGGCAATCAGCAAAGCACCTGAAAAGCAAAAGGAGTGGCAGATTTTCTACCCTCAAAGACAAAGCAGATGTCAGATACTTGTGGCTCACTCCTGTAACCCCAGATACTCAGGAGGCTAGGGTCTAAGGACCATGGTCTAAAGCCAGTCTGGGCATGAAAATCTATACAACTTTAATCTCCAATTAACCATCAAAGGACTGGAAGTGGAGGTGTGGCTCAAGTGGAAGAGTGCCAGTCTTGAGTGAAAAAGCTAACAGATACTAATACCTAGGGCCTGAGTTCAAACCCCAATCCTGGCACAAAAACAAAACAAAACAAAAGACAGGAGCTGGGAATGTGGCTTGGTGGTAGAGTGCTTGCCTAGCATACACAAAGCCCTGGGTTCATTTCCTCAGTACCACATAAACAGAAAAAAAGCCAGAAGTGGCACTGTGGCTCAGGTGGTAGAGTACCAGCCTTGAGCAAAAGAATCTCAGGGACAATGTCCAGGCCCTGAGTTCAAGACAGGCAAAAAATAAAAATAAAAAGGCAAACCCATTCCCTGGGATTCTACAGAGGAAGGGAGGCTTAGACATGGTGACTTTCCAAGGACTCAATGTATGGCCAATGGCTCATACCTATATTCCTAGCTACTCTGGAGACTGAGATCTGAGGATTGTAGTTCAAAGCCAGCCCAGGCAGGAAAGGTTTTGAGACTCTTATCTCTAATTAATCAGCAAAAAGCTGAAAGTGGTGGACTGCCAGCCTTGAGCAGAAAAGGCTAAGGGACAGTGCTCTAACCTTGAATTCAAGCCATAGTACCAGCACACACACACACACACACACACACACACACACACACACACACACACACACACACACACACACACACACACACACACACACACACACACACACACACACACACACACACACACCCCAGATCTCACTAGCCTTTCTGGAATTCTTGCTCTGTGATTCTCCTACTCTCTTCTCCCCTGTCTCCAACCCTGATGTGACTCTCAGGAAAGAACCAGGGCCTGGTAGGCCTTCAAGGAAGGGAAAGGGTGCCTTTACAAGGTGCTAGGAATGCTATTAACATCCCTAACGCCAGCTGCAGAGGCCCCTTGCAGTCCTCTGGGAAGGTACTGCTGTGCAGGCGCCCCGATTCCAGTGCCACAGCTGCAAGCACGGGGCAACTGGGGGCTGCAGAAGTAGACAGTGTCCATGGTAGCAGGAATTGAATTGAGACTCTCTTCCTGGTTCCTTAAGAGAGCATCTAAGTTGGAAACCAGTGGCTCACACCTGTAATCCTATCTACTTGGAAGGCTGAGATCTGAGGATTGAAGTTCAAAGCCAGCCTCAACAGGAAAGTCCATGAGACTCTTAACTCCAATGAACCACCAGAAAACCAGAAGTGGAGCTGTGGCTCAAAGTAGTAGAGTTCTAGCCTTGAGTGAAAAAGCTCAGAGACAGCACCCAGGCCCTGAGTTCAAGCCCCATGACTGACCAAAAAAGAACGAGCGAGCCTCTAACACCAAGGCTTCCATACTCAAGCTAGACAGTCTGGTGGCAAGGTCCTTCCCACCTTTTATTATTTAATTAGATTTGTTTTTGTGCCAGTATTGAAGCTTGAACTCAGGGTCTGGATCTGTTCCTTAGCTTTTCCCCCTCAAGGCTGGCACTCTACAGTTTGAGCCACAGCTCTAGCTCTGTGTGTGTGTGTGTGTGTGTGTGTGTGTGTGTGTTTAATTGGAGACAGAGACCATGCAATTATGCTAGCCTACAGGGCTGGCTAGGGCTGGCTAGGAGACTGGCGGCTGGGCCCTATATGGTGGAGGAAGTAGCTGCCGGGCAGCTCATTGGCCAGCAGGGGGCAACTTTAGGCTATTTCCCATCCAGGATTGGAGCTGAGATTTGAAGCCCTGCTAGGGCCTGGGGAAGGTCCATTCTGGAGCTGTGCCTAGTCCAAGGATAATGTGGGGACATATACCCTGGCAGCTTGTTCTTCTTGTCCCTTCGGGTTCCCTTGGGACCTCTGTAAGCAGAGGTATCAGCCTGGGAAGAGTCAGCAAGCAGCTCAGGAGTCAACCACGGTGTATGGAGAACCTACTATGTACAAGTCACCTACTGAGTGTTCTCATAGATAGTATCTCAAAGTAAGAGAGGTGAAATTGTGTTATACCCACAAGCCAAGGAGCTGTTATAGGTGCAGTACAAGTCAGTTATCAACAAAACACATGGCAAGCTCACAGGCAGGCAGCCCAAAGGTCTTTCTGACTCCACCTAGTATCTGTATACTCCACTCATGGACCAGATGACTAACTGATCAGATGGCCCAATGACCATAGTCAGGGTTCAAACACCACCTGCCCCCCTTCCTAGATCCATGGCAACAGAACCATGTGCAAATATAGCTAATGGGCCAACTCCAAGATGTTCTAGAGCAGCTTGGACATACTAATTAGGCAACTTCAAGTTGAGAGTGGTTGAGAGTAGCTAGGACATGCTAATGAACCAACTCTAACGTGTCCTCTAGAACCAACTCTAACGTGTCCTAGAGGTGGCTTTGATTTATTAAAGAACCAACCCTAGGGTGGTTAGGCTGTGGTCTTGGTAATAGACTAACTCTAAGGGTAGCCAGAATAAGACCCTGAAAATAGGCCATAAGGTCTTGTAGACTCCAAACTTCACATTCCAGCCTCGCATCCTCCAGCCTCAGGGGATCTTTCCAGCTGTCTGCCTCTCCTGCCAGACTCTCTTGTCCCAGCAACATGCTCCCTCTGGTGAGTGCTGATGAGCAAACTTGCATAATCATAGTGGATTCCAGACCTGTCATTGTTATTATTGCATAGAGTAACAAACTGCTTGATGTGTGAGTGGTGACTACTTGTTAGAATTTTATTTTGAATTGTTGTATTATTGCAGGACATCTTACATTTGAGTCTTTATAGCATACCTATGCTACTGCCATCATCTCACATCTTGAGACAGAGACAGAGACAGATTTCTATGGTGGAGGTGGGGTGGGGTGGGGTGTGTGGGGGTGGGGGGGAAATCCTTCTGTTCTCAGACAGAAGAATTTTCAGACAGTTCTTTGCAGTTTGGGGTCCTTTCCCTCCCTCCCTGCACCTCCTCCGCCCTCAGAGCTCCCTCTGGAACTTTCCAGGCTCTGGAGAGCTAGCTACTGTCTTTAATTTCTGGCTGTGGAGTCCCAGGGAGAGTTCACTCCTAAATCTAGTAGAGGTCAAATCCTTCAGGCAGAAGATGGCTTCCTAACCGGAGAATCTGTACACTCTGTCCCACAGCTCTGGGAAGCCAGCCCTCCATTTAGCTGTTTTCACCCACTTTCACTTCCTACTTCTCCTTGGGCCTTGCACAATGCTGGGGACAGGCCTGGGAAAGTGGGTGATGGGGATGGGATGGAGGAAGACACCCCAGAGGCCCAGCCTGGGGAAGTTGTGTAGGTAGGAGGAGCATGGTCTAGCTTCTTCCCAGTGGCTCAGGGCTGCTAGGCCATAGCTTCCCCAGTTGGTACTAGGCTTGTCTATAGCCAGAACTCCATCTATCTCCTCCAGCTCTGCCCCTAACCAACTCCCTTGGGCTTACCCACTCAACTCAGGGTCACCTGCTCCTTACATGGGCTTATACTCTTGACATTTTCCAAACACTAGACTTTCTTTCTGTGTGTTTCTCTAGGGCCATCAACTTCTGAGATACATGCTCTAGGGACGGGCTTAGGATGTAGGTTTGGGCATGGCCAGTTGGGGAGCAAGAATCTGGGTGTTGGAGACTTATGTATGTGTGCATGCACACGTGTGCCCCTACTGGAGCTTGAACTCAGGGCCTTGTACTCTCACTTGGCTTTTTTTTTTCTACTCAAGACTGATGCACTATCACTTAAGTCACAGCTCTACTTCTGGCTTTTCTGCTGGTTATTTGGGAATAAGTTTCATAGAACTTTCTGCTGGCCTAGATTCATACCTCAATCCTAATCCTCAGATCTCAGCCTTCTGAGTAGCTAGGATTGTAGGTGTGAGCCACAGCTCCCCACTGCCAAATTTCTTTGGAGCTTTGGCGTCTCCAGAGGAAGCAGTCTTCAGCCCTGGGACAGGGAACAAAGCCTCAGAAGGGGCAGAGGGCACAGAGCTGGATGATGTCAGCATGGCTAAATGCAAGAAGTGGAGCTTTATTCCGCCCCCCCTCACCACACACTAACAGTCCTCATTTTCAAATTGCCAAGGGTCAGGGCAATAGGAACAGATGAGATTGGTGAACTTAGCTGGCACATAGGTTGGCACTCAAGGAAAATCAGAGCTGGTGAAGATTCAAAGAAGTTAAGTCCAAATCTTCCAGTATGTCTATGGAAAACCAAGATGTGACAGAGCCAAGCCCTGTGTATCTGGGGGATGGTCCAGAGGCTGAGGTCTGGCTGGGCGGCATGTCCACGCTGGCAGCTCTGGTGGGGCAGCAGTGTTGACTAAGGGCAGGGATGTTGCAGGACTAAGCTCTGGACCTGTGATTCCCTAGCTTGGCTACCCTGACTTTGGAACCGGTGCTACATCCTTCCCAGGGAGTGGTGAGGTACACCCCACTGGCATAAGGGGCTGGGGGGAGAAAACAGGCGTCAGGGAGACAGCCACTTTGAGCAGGCCAGACAGTGCGGGGATCAGATTTCAGCCCAGCTGTATTTTTGGCTGAATGAGGGGGGGAAGGGGGAGGCCAAGTTGGGCAGGCACAGCTGCCCCATGGGGAGGCAATCCCACCCCATTAAATACCCTCACACTACCTCCATCCAGATAACCACCCATTTCCTGGCTTCCCCCTCTACCCCCCACCACAGAAAGAAAGAGTCCAGTGCCCCAGGACTAGGGGATCACTTTGGGCTTCTCTGGATTGAGGGTGAGTTTCTGTAGGGTCTTCTTGATGCGCAGTGCGGTGAGGCGGGCAGAAGGGTTGGGATACCAGCATTCCCGCATCATCTGAGCCAGGCCACAGAGAACCTAGGGGTTTAGAGAGAGACAGAGAGGAAGCAGGGACATAGGTCAGGAAAGAGAGAAATGAGGCAGAGAAGTGAATGGCCCAAGAAGACAGATGCAAGCAGAAGGTGGGAGAAACAAAACAAAACAATACAGGGAGAGGGAAATGAGGGTGTTCGACAGGAGTTTGTGAGGAAAGGCAAATGGTGAGAGTGAGGATGGAGAGGCCAGGAAAGGATGAGGAGAGGAAGAGAAATGGAAGCAGAAGGGAATGGGTAGAGACAGGAAGAAGAGTGAACAAGAGCATTCAGTCTCATTCCCTCAGGTTTCCTGAGTGAACAACACCTATGCCACCAGGATCCCCAGGGAAGGGCAGCTCTGCTATCTTGGGGCTTCTGCATCCCCAGCTGAGACCCTCCCACACAGGGCATGACTAGGCCTAGGGGGCAATGGAGGAATGAGTGGTGGGCACTGTTCTAAAAATACATGTGGGGCTGGTAACATGGCATAGTGGTAGAGTGCTTACCTAGCATGCATGAAGCCCTGAGTTTGATTCCTCACTACCACATAGACAGAAAAAAAAAGCTCAAGTGGTAGTGTGCTAGCCTCGAGCAAAAGAAGCTCAGAGACAGTGTCCAGGCCCTGAGTTCAAGCCCAAGACTGGCAAAAAATAAAAAATTGTCCAGGTAAGACCTCAGCCTAGGGGCTGGGAAGGTGGCTCAGCGGTAGAGCGCTTGCCTTGCATGCCTGAGGCCCTGGGTTCGATTCCTCAGCACCACATAAGCAAAAAGAAAAAAAGCCGGAAGTGGTGCTGTGGCTCAAGTGGTAGAGCGCTAGCCTTGAGCTGAAGAGCTGAGGGATAGCGCCCAGGCCCAGAGTTCAGGCCCCATGACCGGACCAAAAAAAAAAAAAAAAAGACTTCAGCCTAGGAAGCTTGGTGAGCCCAGAATGAGCCAATCCATCCCTTCTAGTCCCTAAAAGTGAGTGTGTGTGTGTGTGTGTGTGTGTGTGTGTGTGTGTGTGTGTGTGTGTGTGGGCACGCACGCACACGTACGCACACAAGATGCACAGGAATGCATGCATCCATTGGTTTTTTGGTTTTGTTTTGCTTTGCTTTGCTTTGTATTGTTCTGGTAATAGCGCCAAACTCAAGGCCTTGTGCTCTCGCTTGGCATGTTTGATCAAGGCTGGAACTCTAACACTTGAACTATAGCTCTACTTGAGGCTTCTTCTCATGGATTTCTGGCTTTGAACTATGATTCTCAGATCTTAGCTTCCTGAGTAGTTTACGGTTACAGGTATGAGCCATTAGTACCCAACTGCATCCATGTGTTTTTTTTATGAATATGTATGTTGTATAGAAATGGATGTGTCTGTTTGCATAGATATGTGTGCATTTATTAATTCTTTCAGTAAATATTCATTGAGCATTTACAGCATGTAGGCACTATTGTAGGTAACAGGGATAGAAGATGAGCAGAAGCTGGGTGTTGGTGACTCAAGCCTGTAATCGTAGCTACTCACCAGGCTATGAGCTGAGGATTGAGGTTTGAAACCAACCCCATCAGACAAATCTGAGAGACTCTAATCTCCACTTAACCACCAAAAAGCCAGAAGTGGAACTGTGGCTCAAGTAATAGAGGGCCCAACCTTGAGCAAAAACGCTCAGGGACAGCACCCAGGCATGCCTGCGCACACATGCGCATGCACACACACAGAGAACAGACTTGGGGCTAGCAATCTAACATATATGTGCATGTGTAGACATGAATGTCTTTGTATGTTAAATGTTTTGAGGGAGGAAAAAAAATAAAATTCTGTAACTCTATAGCAGAAAATGCACCAGAGATTTTCCACAGGTAAATTAAGAGGAGAGTTCTGAAAAATCTCACATTGAATAAGGTCTTAGATAGAAAGCGACAGGCCAAGAATTCAGGAATACACGGAAGACCTATTGAAGAAGCAGAGACACTAGTTCCTGAGCCCAGAAACCCAAACTGTGAGCCTCAATCCACCCTCTGCCATCCCAGCCCCAGTTCCACAGAGGCCTTACCGGGTCTGCAGCTAGCCGGTTGGGGATGGTAGGAGTCTGCTGGTCAATACACACCACCTTCTTCATGTCCTCGAAGCTGGGGTCATTGGGCACCACATCATAGAAGGGTGGCCTATAGTCCTCTACAAGACCTGAGGATTGGGGTGGGGTGGGGGAATATAAGCTGTTGAGCTCAGGAGGCTAAATGGCTCCTAGAGAACAGCTTTGCCCAGCCTCTGTTCCAGGAGCCAAGAAGCAAGTTGCCTGGCTATGCTGCCCTGAGAGGGACACTGTAAGATAATGAATGTATTCATAACTAGTAACAACTATTAACATATTTCTAACTAATAATGATTACAGTCTTTATTTATTTACTTTTTGCCAGTCATGGTGCTTGAATTCAGGGCCTGGGCACTTTCCCTGAGCTGCTTTTGCTCAAGGTTAGCACTCTACCACTTGAGCCACAGACCACTTCCAGCTTTTCCTGTTTATGTGGCACTGAGGAATTGAACCCATGGCTTCATGCAAGCTAAGCAAGCACTCTACCACTCAGTCACATTCCTAGCCCATGATTAGAGTCTTTTTTTTATTGTAAAGATACTGTACAGAGGGCTTACAGTTACATGAGTAATGATTACAGTCTTTTTTTTTTTTTAATTTTTTTTTTGGGTCCAGTCGTGGGGCCTGAACTCTGGGCCTGGGCGCTGTCCCTCAGCTCTTCAGCTCAAGGCTAGAGGTCTACCACTTGAACCACAGTGCCACTTCTGGCTTTGTTCTTTTTGCTTATGTGGTGCTGAGGAATCGAACCCAGGGCCTCAGGCATGCAAGGCAAGCGCTCTACCACTGAGCCACCTTCCCAGCCCTGATTACAGTCTTGGTTTTACACTTCCCATGTGCCAGGCATTGTACTGGATACGAGCCCTGTTATAGGAGCTATCTTGCTAGTGATTTTGACATCAGTGTAAGAGGGGCATTATTAATATCTCCATGCTATCGATAAAGAAACTGAGGGGCTGGGAAAGTGGCTCAGTGGTAGAGTGCTTGCCTTGCATGCCTAAGGCCCTGGGTTCGATTCCTCAGCACCACATAAGCAAAAAGAAAAAAGCCGGAAGTGGTGCTGCGGCTCAAGTGGTAGAACACTAGCCTTGAGCTGAAGAGCTGAGGGACAGCGCCCAGGCCTAGAGTTCAGGCCCCACAACCGGACCCAAAAAAAAAGAAAGAAACTGAGGCTCAGAAAAGTAGGGCCCAAGCTTACACAGCCAGATTCAAACGCACTTGTTAGATTGTTAAACTAAATCTTGTCCCAGTCTTTCATCAAGTGCCTTGTATCTAGGGCAGGATGCTGATGCCCACCTAATGATAACAGCACCTACTATTTACTGATCACTTACTATGTGCCAGGTACTGTCCTAAGTACTCTGCATTAAATCCTTACAACATCCCTAAGGACTTAATAGTTCCCCCTTTACAGCCAAGAAATTAAGGTTAGAAATTTAGTGATAGAACTGCCAGGTGCTGGTTGGTGGCTCATACCTATAATCCTAGCTACTCAGGAGGCTGAGATCTGAGGATGTTGGCTTGAAGCAAGCCCAGGCAGGAAAGTCTGTGAGACTCTTATCTTCAATTAACCACCGGAAAACTGGAAATAGAGCTGTGGCTCAAATGGTAGAGCACTAGCCTTGAGCAAAAAAAGCTCAGGAACAGTACACAGGCCCTGAGTTCAAGCCCTATGACTAACAACAACAACAACAACAACAAAAATCTCTCCTAAAAGAAAGGATTTTTACCTTGGCCCAGATAATGTCCACCCACTGTCAGGTAAGACTGGGGTCTCCACGGATCCCATCCTACCCCACTCTATCCCCAGTGCACTGGCCTTCGGAGCTTTCCGAACACCGTGGGATGCAGTCAGCTTCATGCCCCATTCTGCTTCTAGGCCTGGCCTTGGCCACACAGGCTACTCAGTGGAGCCTTCTCCAGCTGTTCTCCCCATGGCGAGCTTCCAGGCCGCCCCTGTGCCGCTCACGCCTTAATCAGTGTTGCACAGAGGCCTGAGTGTGTCTAATGAGCCTTTAATCAGCGCCCGGGCTGACACCAGATTACAGTGTTTATAATGCGCCTGGAATCTGTGTGCAGCTAACAGAGCTTGCCCTCCTCAGCCCAGGAGTCAGAGGCAGCCTTCCCAGCCCTGCCTTTCCTGCTGGTAGCCTGGTCTTGGCTCCGTCCAGGTGTCCTTTCTCCACACTCTAGCCTCTTACCCCACTTGGCAGTTTACGCACCGGAATTAGAGCCCCTTAAGAGATTTCCAGAGGAGCAGGGCACAGTGGCTCAAGCCTATAATCCTAGATATTTGGGGGAGGCAGAGTGTGGGGAATCACAGTTTAGGGCCAGCTAGGATTAAAAATAAAGAAGTTCAAGAGATTTCATCTTAACGAACTTCTGGGTTAGGACCGTATATGCTGTTTTCCCAGCTATAGAAGAAGCACAATGACTGCACAGTGTGTCATGTGCGTGTTGTTCCCAGAGACACAGGTAAGCCTAAGTGGGAGGATCCTAGCCCAGGCAGGCCCAGACATACGGTAAAACCCAACCTTGAAAAACAATCAAGGCACACTAGGCACCAGTGGCTCACACCTGTAACCCTAGTTACTCAGGAGGTTGAGATTTGAAGATTGTGTTTCAAAGCCAGTTTGGATAGAAAAACATATGAGACTATTTATAATTAATCACCAAAAAGCCAGATGTAGAGCTATGGTTCAAGTGGTAGAGTACTATCCTTGAACAAAAAAGATCAAGGGCAGTGCCCAGGTCCTGAGTTCAAGTTCCAGGACTAGCCAAAAAGAACAAAAAGCAAAATGAGGCTGGAGGTGTGGCTGAAGTAGTAGAGCACCTGTGTAGCAAAAGAAAGAGAGAGAGGGAAGGAAGGAAGGAAGGAAGGAAGGAAGGAAGGAAGGAAGGAAGGAAGGAAGGAAGGAAGGAAGGAAGGAAGGAAGGAAAGAAGGAAGGAAGGAGAAAAAGAAGAGAAGAAAAAGACAACTCCGGGCTGGGAAGGTGGCTCAGTGGTAGAGCACTTGCCTTGCATGCCTGAGGCCCTGGGTTCAATTCCTCAGCACCACATAAGCAAAAAGAAAAAAAGCCAGAAGCAGCGCTGTGGCTCAAGTAGTGAGCGCTAGCCTTGAGCTGAAGAGCTGAGGGACAGCGCCCAGGCCCAGAGTTCAGGCCCCATGACCGGACACCCCCCCCCCCCAAAAAAAGGCAACTCCCCCAGAGGGACCAGACTGTCAAGTCAATGACCCTGAGGACAATTGAAGTCCCAAGGACTGACTTCTAGGAATGTTTTTAGTAATGAGAATATTTCTGAGCAGGGATAAGTCATGTCCTGAAGATTTTCCTCAATCTGTAGGACTCCTAGCAGCCCCTGGCTGTGGCTGGCCTCCACACAGGCTGACAATGCTCCCATCAGTCCAGATGACCTCACATCTCCCATCCAACCAGGGCTAAAAGAGCACCGACCACAGGGCTGCCTAGGGCAGATGTCTTTACCAGTCTCCCTAAATCAGAGCTGTGCTTCACACCACCATGGCAATCCACAGCATAATGAAGCTGCAGTCTTCAGGCAGCACAGGTACTGTGATGGGCTGAGGAAATCAGGGACCAGACATTTAAGTGCCAGTGTGATGAGTACTGGCCCCAGAATCAGATCACCCACTCTCAGACACCAATGAAGCCTCTAGCCAATTATGATTCCGTGCTTCTCTCTCCTCATCTATACAATGGGGACATTACTATATTAGGCACTCATTACAATAATGGTCACTAATATTTATCTCTAGATAGTTCTGAATACTTCTGTTGGATTAGCTCAACAACTATAAGCTATTTAGGTTGCTTTTCTGGTTTTGTTTATTTGTTTATAGTACTGAGGTTTGAACTCAGGGCCTGGTGCTTGCTAGGCAAGTGCCCTTCCATTTGTGCCACACTGCCTTTTGTTTTTATTTTTCAGAGAACATCTCTCATTTTTGCCTGAGGTGGACATGATCTTTCTATCATTGCTTTCCAAAATAACTGGGATTGAACCATACTTGGCTTATTGATTGAGATGAAGGTCTTGCTAACTTTGGGGCCTCAAATCACCATCCTTCCAATCTTGGCTTTCCAAGCAGCTATAATTACAATCATGCATCAGCATGCCTGGCTAGCAGATATTCTTAATTATCACTTTACAAATGAAGAAACTAAGGCACAAGGAGGTCAAGTAACCTGCCCAGTCATTATATACTTGGAATTGAACCTAAACACTCTGATTCCAATCCTTTAACCACTAAGCAATACCCACTCTCTCATCCAAAATGGGAGATTTAAAGAAGATAGTATGTGGAGAGAATATAGCATGTCACATTTTTAGGCTCAACACATGTGAGATAATATTTCAGGTTTTACAGCCACATTCAGACACATGTTCCTTAAAAGGTCACTTAGGCTGAATGCTGGTGGCTCACACCTGTAATCCTAGCTACTTGGGAGGCTGAGGTCTGAGGGTTGTGATTCAAAGCCAGCCCAGGCATGAGATTCTGATGTCTAGTTAACTACCAAAAAGAAAAAAAAAAAAAGCTGGAAGTGGGGCTGAGGTTCAAGTAGTAGTGCACTAGTCTTGAGCAAAAAAGCTCAGGGTCAGTGCCCAGGCCCTAAGTTCAAGCCCAGGACCAGCACACGCGCGCACACACACACACACACACACACACACACACACACACACACACACACACACGGCCACTTGGCTGACTCAGCCAGTGGGTGACAGTGAAGAATACTAGGAGTCATAGCTTCAAACCCCTCAGGCCATGGTCAGCAGCCACTGCAGGAAGCCCCCATCTCTACCGGCCTCCTTCCCCTTCTCCCACGCTGAGCGTGGTAGCCTCTCACCATTGATGATGGTCCTCCGGGTGATCTCCCACAGCACCAGGCCAAAGGCCCAGACATCAGTCCATTTGTAGGACTCAAAGCAGTCAGTGCGAATCTGCTCATCCAGCACCTCGGGCGCCATGTACCGCTTGGTGCCCACTCTCGGGTTGTTGCCGATGTCCAGGTAATCACTACCCTGGGAGTGTATCACAGCCAGGCCTACGGGTAGAAGATTTGACACTCTAGCCACTCAGTCTGGCCCACACAGAGCTATTTCCAGAGGCAGAGGGGGCCCAGGAGGCAGGAGACAGACATAGGGGAGCAGACAGAGAGACCTGTCCTAAGATTGGCTGGAAGGCAGTGGCCAGAGGGAGAACACCTATTCCAGTTACCCTTCTCTTGTATAGACCCAAGAACCCACTGAGATGTGTATAGGCAAGGCTGGCTTTATGATGTCCATTTCACAGAGAAGAACCATGAAGTCAGTGCTGGAGAATGGGCTGGGGGCTGCTGGGAAGGATGTGCCCAAATGAAGCCAGGATGAGGTTCTTGGACTCCTGGATTTCTTCCCTCCTGGAGCTAGTGTGAGTGGTGGAAAGACTCTGGCCTTGAAAAGGGAGTTAAACGAGTCACTGGTGGGTCATGCCTGTAAGCCTAGCTACTCAGAAGGTTGAGGTCTGAGGATTGTGGCTCAAAGCCAGCCCAGGCAGAAAAGCAGGAAAGTTGTGAGACTCTTATCTCCAATTAAGTACCAGAAAACCGGAAGTGGTGCTGTGATTCAAGTGGTAAAGCACTTGCCTTGAGCTGAAGAGCTAAGGGGCAGTACCCAGGCCCAGAGTTCAAGCCCCACAAGTGACAAAAAAAGAAGAAAACAAAAAAATGGGGGGGGGGAGTTAAGTGGGGGTACCAGTGGCCCATACCTGTAATCCTAGCTACTCAGGAGGCTGAGATCTGAGAATCATTATTCAAGCAAGATGGACAAAAAAAGTCTGTGAGACTCTTATCTCCAATCAACCACCAAAAACTAGAAATGGAGGTATGGTTCAAGTGGTAGAGTACCAGCCATGAGCAAAAAAAGCCAAGGGAGTGTATAAGGCCCTGAATTCAAGCCTCAGTACCAGCACACACACACACACACACACATATACAAATACACATGCACACACACATGTACACATGCACACACACAGGGGGATTTAAGACAACTTTAGGACTCTTGTGAAAGAGAAATGAGACAACAGATTTCTCCAAGTTTTCAAGTACTAGTCATAGTCTCAGTTCACCAAAACAGGCAAAGAAGCCCAGAGTACCAACTCTGTCCACCTGCCCAGGGTCCTCCTCACCCTGCCTCACCTCCTTCTCCCTCTTCCATCCCACTTTGCACACCCACCTAGGTCAGCGATACAGCACTGCAGGTTGCTCTTGACTAGCACATTGCGACTCTTGAGGTCACGATGGGCGATGGCCGGTTTGCCCTGCGTGCCAAAGATCTCCATGTGCAGATGTGCCAAGCCACAGGCAGCAGACACAGCCAGCCTCAGGGCCAGCTGGGGTTCCAGGGTCTGTCTCTGTAGAAAGTCATAGAGGGAGCCATGCTCGTGGTAGTGAGTGATGAGCCATAGCTGTGTGCTGGAGTTGCGTGAGGTCATGTCGGAGGCGATGAAGCCTGTGTGTGAAAGAAGGATCAGGTGACTGAACCAAAGGACTGGGGAAAAGGGAGGCTGGGCTGGTCAGGGTCCAAGGTAGGACCCTGGCACCAGTGGCCAAAGCTGGAGCTGGTTAGGGATTCATTTCATTCTGATCAGGGAGCAGAGTTACTGGAGCCAGAAGTTAAGCTGAAGGTGGGCCGGGAGACTTTGGATTAAGTCAAAGTTGAGAAGTGTGTGGACTCCAGCCCGAGAGCAGGAGATGGAAGCTCCAAGCTTGGCACAGCAGGGACAGTTCCCCCTCTACTCCCCCCACCCTTGCCTAGGATGTTGTCATGTCTGAGCAGCACCGTGTTGTAGATCTCTGTCTCCCGGAACCATGACTGTTCATCTCTGGAGGAGAAGATCTTGACTGCCACACTCTCACCATGCCACAAGCCCCGCCAGACCTCTCCATAGCGCCCCTTTCCTGGTTCAATGGCCAGAGGAGAAAGTGAGAATCACACACAGCTCTGGAAGTACCTTCTCCCCGCATCCAGATGCTATGCCAATCCTACCTACAGAACCTTTAACTTTATGCATATCTTTATTTTTTTTGGTGTCAGTCCTGGGGCTTGAACTCAGGGCCTGGGCTCTGCCCCTGAGCTTTTGTGTTAAAGGCTAATGCTCTACCACTTGAGCCACAGCTCTACTTCCCACTTTTTTGGTAGTTTAGTAGATGTAAGAGTCTCAAAGAGGGCTAGGAGAGTGGCTCAGTGGTGAAGTGCTTGCCTTGTATGCATGAGGCCCCGGGTTTGATTCCTTAGCACCACATAAGCTGTGGCTCAAGTGGTAGAGCGCTAGCCTTGAGCTGAAGAGCTGAGGGATAATGCCCAGGCCCAGAGTTCAGGCCCCACAACCAGACCAAAAAAAAAAGAGCCTCAAAGACTTTCCTGCCCTAGCTGGCTTTGAACTATGATCCTCAGATCTCAGCCTCCTGAGCACTAGGATTATAGGCATGAGCCACTGGTGCCAGGTTCCCATACTATGTTTTGCTCCTGCAAAAAGACTTAGGCCCTGGTCCATCTCTTACTCCCTGCCGCAGAATTCCCATTCTCACCCTTCTCTTTCTATTTGACTCTGGATGCCAAGATTTCCCTTACTCCTCCATGCTTACAGAAACTCTTTGTCCCTGCTCCCCAAGCCCAAACCCTCCACTCACCCACACACTCCACCAGAGCAACCTGGCGCGCCACTGTCCTCTGCACCAGGAAGGGAAGCCCTGAGCCACTGCCTGTGGTGCAGTCACTGTCCAGGAAGTCCTGGAAATACCAAGAAGCCACTCAGAAGCTATTCCCACCACACAGCCCCCTTCTGGCCTCAATCAGGTCACTACATGCTCCTCACAGGACCAGTTCTCTGACAACCCTAATTTCTGAGTGGACCCCCACCCCCACCTGACTCTGTAGCTCCTGTCTGCCCATACCTCCATCCTGGGTCCCAGGATCATACCCCCAGCATGCTGTCCCCCTGCTCAGATGCCTTCAGGATGAGGCTCGACTCGCCCAGGTCGCTGCGTAGACCCCGCTGTTTCTCTCGCCTTCGCCGGATATGCCATACTCCCAGAGCACCCAAAGCCACCAGGACCAGTAAGGCCAGTACAGGACCCAGGATCAGAGGCAGCTGGCTTATTCCTGGCTCCTTCGTAGGAGGTTGAGTAGCTGGGGGAGGGGGACACTAAGTCCCAGCTTCCACCAGTCCAGCTCCTCTGCACTGGGCCAGATCACTGTGCCAGTCCAGTGGCAGCCTCCTGCCCCTGCCCCCTACCTCCCTGTTATGAGGCAGAGGAGAAGACAGCAGGGGAGGGAGGGCAGGGTCTGAGAGGATGGGGAAGGGCTGGCAGGCCACCAGACTTACCCTTGAGCACCAGGGACACGTTGTGGTTACAGAGGGGACTGTCGCAGCAGTAATGATTGACGAACTCAGTGGGGTGCCCCCTGCAGAGCTCCTGGTTCTGGCTCCCACAGCCCCGATATTCTTGGGGGTCCTTGTCCTGCTCCCTAACCAGCACCACTGTACACCAGATGCCCAGGCAGGTAGGCTCCCTGCAGTATGGGCTCTTACACGTGCAGTTCACCAGCGGGCGCCGAGAAGGCTTCATGGAGTCACCTGAGAGACACACTGCAAGCTCAGCCATGCTGGGCACAGCTTTCCAAAAGTAAGGTCCACATCCATTCCTGTCCCAACATCCCCTCCCTTCTGGCCCCTCAAACAAACCCTTGGAGGCCTTTGATCCCTTACTTCCATCCCCTGATCATCCTTCCTCAGGGCCTTACCTCAATGGGGGCAGCAGAAATTGAGAAGCTTTTCCCCCTGTCTGTCCTGACACCCAACCTCCAGGCCCCTGAAGACTCTCCAAGGCTCTCTTTGCTAACACTCCCCACCCCAACCTGTAGGAACCCACCCTGGAGTATGATAAAGCGCCAGCCTTCAGGATTATATTAAGAAGACAGCAAAAGCTGTCAGGATGTGGAGATCTGAGGCTCAAAAGAAGTCGGTGAGACTTATCTCCAATTAACCAACAAAAGTGGAGCTGTGGCTCAAGTGGTAGAGTGCCAGCCTTGAATGAAAAAGTTAAAGGGACATGAGTTTAAGCCCTTTCTCTCTCTCTCTCTCTCTCTCTGTGTGTGTGTGTGTGTGTGTCACTCTCTCTCTCTCTCTCTCTCACACACACACACACACACACATACACACATAAAACAAAGAGAGTTGGGACAGCTGGAAGTTTAGCCTAATTGAATCTTTCTATCCCCACCCTCCAGCCACTCCTAACCGCTCTGCAGCATCTCAGATTCAACCCAGCAAGAGCTGAGTTGTGCCCAAATAGTCTTTCTCCATCCAGGCCCAGGTTCCTCCCATACTCACTCTGAGTCAGGCCCAAGGCCATCAACAGCATCAGAAGACTCCTCCCGGGGAGGCCCAAGGTCATGGTCCCTGGAGACAGGAGAGTGAGAGGAGGGGAGGTAAGATCTACAAATGTGACAGCTGTGCTCTCTCCTACCAGAAGGAAATTACTGGAAGGTTTGAGGGGGGGAGGAGGCAGAGGCCACCTCCCCAATCCTACGTCTGGTTTTGGGGCGGGGCCTGCAAGGGAAGTCCTGGTTCACTTCCCCATGGAAACCATCCTGTTAGGGGTGAAGGGTGGAAAGCCATGTTTCAGTGACTGAGAACTGGAAAGAACCCCAGATCTGCACAGTCTGCTGCTGCGCTTAGACTGGAGCAGGCTGGGAGGGTTGCAAGGAGAATCTCTTCTAGCAGCTCCCCTCTCTCAGCCTCCACCTTTGCCCACCCTTTCCCAGAACAACCCCCACCTCCCCCATCCCTAGCCCTGGCAGCCTCAAACATAAACAGGCTCCTGTCTTCACTTCCTGCCATTCAGGGTCCCGCCAAGTTGGGAACAGGAATCAAGATTGTTTAGATTGGGGTCTGGATAGAACAGGCAGGAGTCACGCAGAGCAGGGAATTAAGAGCATGTTGTCAGGGCAGGCCGGGGCAGCCATAGGGCCTGGAGGACCCACTTTGGGTTCAAAGAACTACCTGACACAGCCAGAGAGGAGCCCTGGCAAGTCAAAGGACAGTTTCTGATGTTAGAGAAAAGATTAAGGCTCACAAGAAGGGAAGCTTGTCCAGCGTCAGGCAGGACTCCATTGCAAGAATAGGAGTCCAACCCAGGTGTCCAGATTCCCCATTCAGGGCTCCTCCCTCTGTCTCCTCAGGTCTGAGCCTGCAGGATTGTCACCAACATGGAAAGGCTTAGCAATTCTATGTCATGCCAACTGTAAAGGGACCTCTGCCAACCTCACCAGAGACAAAGGTGCCCTCCAGAGCCATTCCCTGACCCCTTCTTGTCCTTTTGTGCTGAGAAAGAGTTAGGGGTGTGTGGGCCAGTGATGCAGGAGGGGAAGTGAAATACACTTGCACACATGGTGGGCCAGGGTTAGACTTTTCCAGAAGTGTCCTAGAGACTGTTAAAAGGAATCATTCTGGTCTATGATAGTCTCCATCTGGTCTATGAGAGTCTCCAACTGAGGACCCAAGTAGACTTGTGAATTAGAAGCCACCCCAACCCCACTCTTCATTTCTCACAGCTTTAGAAGCAGAAAATGTGGGCTGAGGCTGCAGCATCAAGGACTTTGTGATGAGCAGAGTGGGGAGTCATGTGTGTAGGGATTGGACCCCAAGAGAAAAAAAGTTTTATTTCTGGCCTAATACAGGTAAGGCTGGTAGGTTGCTGGGCACCTGTAATCCTAGTGATTTAGGAGGATTGAAGTTCCTAGGTAGGAAAGTCCTTGAGACTCTTATTTCCAATTAACCAGCAAAAAGCAGAAAGGGGAGCTAAGTGACCTAAGTGATAGAGCACCAGCCTTAAGCCAAAAAGCAAAGAGACAGCACTCAGGCCCTGAATTTAAGCCCCAGTATACACACACACACACACACACACACACACACACACACACACACGCACACACACACACATACACACAAAGTGAGGCTGGTAAGGATGTGCATATAGCCAGGTTACAAAGGGTCCATAGTCTCAGATTGGTACCAAATGAAAATCCAAGGAGCTGGGGCTTTGTGGGCAGAATGGCTGAGGGTAGGGCGGTAAGAGGGCTTCATGGGCCTCTCTGGCTGATGGCAGCTCTAGCCTTCCTGTCTGGGCTTTCTCTGGCCCAGAGGCCTGGCCTGGAGAGGAAGCAGAGCCCTGGGCTGCAGCGTTGTCCCTGGCCTCTGCCTGATCTCCTGCCTCACTCTTCTGGGCAACCAGTGAGAACTCTGGCAATCACTTTGCAGTGGGCCAGGCAGAATGTTCCAGATAAGCTTGCCCACTAAAGTGTGGTCAAGCAGTCACTCTTGGCAGTCATCACTTGCCCAGAAAGCAACTAAGAAGAGGGTATGGGGCAGGAAGTGGCTAAAACCAAAGAGACCTCTGGCATTCTTCTGGGTCCTTCTATCCAAGCTTGCATTTCCCTCCCCGTCTCCTGGCCACCTGTTTGCCTTCTCTATTACACAGATGCACAGCTTGTGGTCTCACCCCTAACTCCAGATCCCCATCCAGTCTATCTGGAGACCAGCAAAACAAAACATGCTTTTGTAAACTGTTCTCCATGAAAGTCTGGGCAGTTTGTGCAGGCACTCGGCGGTAAGTAACACATCCTACACAGAGCTGTGCCTGGCTCCTGAGCTGTCATTCTGCTGTTCAGTGCCCTGCTGGGTGAGTGGACATGGGCTGCAGAGAGAAGGGATTCTAGATCTTACTCTGTGTCCATCTCCTGGGGGAGCAGGAACGAACAAGGCTAAGTACAAGGCCAAGGACTTAGTGACACTGTAGGGTGAGTGTGGGGATGAGATCTTTGATCTGGACATTAGAAGTACAGGGAAAAGACAGTAACATTGCAGAAAGTCATATATGATCTAATCCTTGGAGTGTAATGGAGTACAATTGGGATGTCCAGTTCTTGTGTGTGTGTGTGTGTGTGTGTGTGTGTGTGTGTGTGTGTGTGTGTGTGTGTGTGTGTGTGTGTGTGTGTGTTTGCTGGTCCTGGGGCTCAAATTCATGGTCTGGGTGCTGTCCCTGAGCTTTTTTATTCAAGGATAGCTCTCTACCACTTGAGACACAGTTCTACTTTTGGCTTTTCAAGTAGTTAATTGGAGATAAGAGTCTTTCAGACTTTCTTGCCCAGGCTGGCTTCAAACTGTGATCCTCAGAGTTCAGTCTCCCGAGTAGCTAGGATGACAGGTACAAGCCACTGATGCCATGCCAGGATATCCAGCTCTTAAATATGCTCCCAACAAAGCTAAATGCAGGAGTGGATCTGGGTTCTTTTTTATTTTTGTCGGTCATGGGGCTTGAACTCTGGGCCTGGACACTGTCCCTGAGCTCTTCAGCTCAAGGCGAGCGTTCTACCACTTGAGCCACAGTGCCACTTCCATGAATCTGGGTTCTTACCAAGCCAGATTCAGAGCCGACTGCATACAGTTCACACTGCATCTGATTGCCTCACAAACAAACTTGTATGGTCTTCTACTATCTTTTGGCTTCTTAGCAAAGCTGCATGGAATATCTCCTGCAGACTGAAGTATCAGTGTTACTGGCCAGAAATCACAAATGTTAAGATAATTCCAAACATTAGCTTAACACTATGAAATAACAGTAATACTTTACTGGTTGTAAGTACTAGTTACAAGCCAAGTACTGAACTTGAATGGTTTATTGCATTTAATCCTTACAATCCCATAGGGAAACTGGGGCTCAGGACAACACATCACATACCCATAATCATTAAATGTGCCTTAACCAACTTAGATTGCTGTTTATAAATCCTTTCCTGTTAGCTGGGAGCTAGTGCCTCACACCTGTAATCCTAGCTACTCAGGAAGCTAAGATTTGAGGATTGTAGTTCGAAGCCAGCTAGGGTAGGAAAATACATGAGACCTATCTCCAATAAATTACTCAGACAAAGCTGGAAATGGTGCTGTGGCTCAAGTGATAGAGTGCTAGCCTTGAGCAAAATGAAGCTCAAGGACAGCACCCAAGTTCTAAGTTCAAGCCACAGGACTGTCATCAAAAGAGAGAGGGCCAGGAATGTGGCTTAGTGGGTAGAGTGCTTGCCTAGCATGCATGAAGCCACATAAACATAAAAAGTCAGAAGTGGTGCTTTGGCTCAAGTGTTGGAGTGCTAGCCTAAGCAAAAGAAGCTTAGGAACAGTGCCCAGGTCCTGAGTTCAAGCCCCAGGACTGGGGCGCGGGTGGGGGGTAAGGGAGGGGAAATTAACAACAATATAAGAAAATACAGTAATTTTAACAACCTGCTTTTTTTAAAGTCTTTTTTCTTTTCTGTCAGTCATGGGACTTGAATTCAGGGCCTGGGCACTGTCCCTGAGCTTTTTTGCTCTACCATTTTGAGCCACAGTGCCACTTCCTGTTTTCTGGTGGTTAATTCGTCTCACAGACTTTCCTGCCTGGGCTGGCTTCAAACAGTGATCCTCAGATCTCAGCCTCCTGAGTAGCTAGGATTACAGGTATGAGCCACCAGTGCTCAGCTTCAGGCTTTGCTTTTCTCTCTCTCCTTTTTCTTTCTTTCTTTCTTTTTTCCTGCCTTTCCATCTCTCTCTCTCTCTCTCTCTCTTTTTTTCTTTCTTTCGCCTTCCTTCCTTCCGTCCTTTTTCCTTTTTAGGTCCTGTGGATTGAACCCAGGCCTTACATTTGCTAGGCAGCCACTCTTCTGAAATCCCTAGCTTTTTTGTTAGTGCTTTGTTTTTTAGATTGAGTCTCACTAATTTTGCTTGCAATGGCTTTGAACTCCCATCCTCCTGCCTCTTGAGTAGCTGGGATTATAGGCATGAACCACCATGACTGTAATCCCAATCATTATAAGGCTACTTGAACAGAAGCCCTACAACAACCTCCATAGTCAATTTGAAAATCATGACAGCTAATGAGTGACTCATGGGCAGGTGGGCAGCACAGTGTGCACACACTGGACCCAGGGATAATTCACATCTGAGGTGGGCAGAGAGGGATGACACAAGGTTTCAACACACAGTTCAGGACTGTGCACAATGTAGAATTTAGAAACTGGTCATTTCTGGAAGTTTCCATTTAATATTTTCACACTACAGCTGATTGCAGATAACCAAACTCTGAGAAAACAAAACTGCAGATAAGAAGGGACTACTCTATAATAGAGAAATGAGAGTGTAGGCTCTGGATCATGTAGACCTGGGTTCAAATCCACTCACAACCACTTGTATCTATCAGAATTGAAGTAAGTTACTTAAAATTTCTAGGTGTAAGCTTCCCCTCATAGGTACAATGGGAATAATAATAGTGTTTATTTCATAGGTGTAATGTAATAAAGGTATTTAGCAGAATACTAAATGGTATACAATAAGCCCTTAATAAATGTTATTAAAACCCCAACCATGCTATTGACACCACCTAAGGAACTCTGGACAAGTTATTCAGGTCGGAACCTGTCTCTTCTTCTGGAGGCTAGGCATAATAACCCTTCATTTGCTAGACTGCAGCCAGGATTACATGAGACAAAAATGTCTGGAAGTGTCTATGTAGTAAGTACTCAAAACAAAAATGTAGCTGTTTTTTGGTGGGGGGTGGTATCCTGGAGCTTGAACTCAGGGCCTGGGTGTAGTTCCTTAGCTTTTTTTTGCTCAGTGTTGAGTCTTACCACTTGAGCTACTACACTTCTACTTCCTGCTTTTTGGTAATTAATTGGAGAGAAGGGTGTCACAGACTTGTCTGCCCGGGCTGGCTTTGAACTCAAATCCTCAAATCTCAGCCTCCTTTTGTAGTTAGGATTATAGGCTTGAGCCAAGGGCTCCTGGAAAATCTAGGTGTTTTGTTGTTGTTGTTGTTGTGTTGTTATTGCTGTTGTTGGCGTGGGGCTTGAACTCTAGGCTTGGACCCTGTCCCTCAGCTCTTCAGTTCAAGGCCAGGGCTCTACCACTTGAGCCACAGTGCCACTCCCTGTTTTCTGGTCATTAATTGGAGATAAGAGTCTCATAGCCTTTCCTGCCCTGGCTGGCTTTGAACCACGATCTTCAGATCTCAGCCTCCTGAGTAGCTAGGATTACAAGAGTGACTCACCAGCACCTGGCTAATTTTTTTTTTTTTTAATTCAGTGACACAGAAGCCAGGTGAGAGGCCAGATAAAAACTCAGAAGCTGCTCTGACCTGGAGGGTACCACCTTTCCTTGGAAAATAAGACAGGATACAGTCAGCTCAGGAGCTTCAAAGGCTTCAGCCTCCTGGGAATCCCCTGGAATCCCCTTTGTCCTAGGTCCTGAAGGGAGGCTGTGACAGGGGGCTTTGTGAGGCCACGCAGGGCTAGGCTGAGTGGGGATTGTGAGATGACATTGGCACCAGGTTCCTGATCTGGGAAAAGTGGGCTCCAAGCGAAAGCCAACAATGTGGAATGTAGGTGGACACTCACACCTGCGCTCTCTCTCTCTCTCTCTCTCTCTCTCTCTCTCTCTCTCTCACACACACACACACACACACACACACACACACACACATGACCCTGCAGGTCACAGGAGCAGCGGAGCTAGAAGTGAGAGCCCCCTTCCTCCCCTCTCCCCCCTTACTCCCCTCTCTCCCCCTTCCTCCCCTCTCCCCCCTACTCCCCTCTCCCCCGTTACTCCCCTCTCCCCCCTCACCCCCCCCCCCCTCCTCGCCCCAGCTCCTGCGCGTGCTCCTAATAGGAGCAAAGGTTTTGGATTCCCAGTGGAGGAATTCGCCCGGCTCCTCCCAGTCTCAGGTGTGCGCTGACAGCCACGGGACGGCTGGGACAGCTGGGACAGCTGGCTCTGCCCGAAGTAAGGGGGCCTTAGGGCGGGGGTCAGGCCTCCCTCCTTCCGACTTCGACTCACCTTTGGGCGCGGGCAGGACCGGAGTGTGCCGCGGGCGGGGCCTCCCCTCGTAAGAGCGTGGGGCTGGGGGCCCGGGGTCCGGGGTCCGGGGCTGGGATCCGGGCTGGAGCCGGGGAGGGGCTCGCTCTGCGCGCTAGCGCGGCGGGCGGCCTCCCAGGACTGGGAAGGGGACGGAGCAAAAATGTTTCTTATTCCAGCGTCTTCCTGCCTGGCCCAGCTCCACCACTCCCTCCTAATAAACCGTTTCCTATTGCCCAGCTCACCCACAGGCCGCCCGATCGCCCCTCGCTGGGCCTCAGGACCCAGGCCTCTCCAGTGTGGTTTCCAGAACCCCCCCGCCCCCCCTCCAGGACAGTCATCCCCAGGCCCCCTGCCCCGGCCTCCCACATCCTCCTTCCCGAGGGGGCGGACCTTGGTGGACTTGCGCCATGGGTCCCTTGGGTCCTGGCGGGAGCCCTGGGGGCCAGAGCCGAGTTGCTGGAGTCTGGAGGCCCAGAGGGGGTAGCTCCCCCCTCCCAACCCGCTCCCCCCTCCCAACCCGCTCCCCCCTGCAGGAGCTGATGGGCCCTAGGGGAAGCAAGGGACCGAGGGAAGGGCACACGCAGGGGTAGCCTGGGCAGATCCTTACCCCACTGTCACTGGGGGGTTATTAGTCTAAGAGGTTCAGAGCAGCAAGGATAGAGTTTGGGGCTGGAAGGTTCCAACAAAATGTTGGCTCCACTCTTAAAGACTTCCCACTCGGCTTAAATTCTTCTGGCCTCCTCCCTCTGGCCTCTTTATGCATCCATCTCCTCCCCTCTTTTCGAAGGCTGCCCCATGGCGCTCAGCCCATGGCTAAAGAGGTCAAGATAGGGTGGTTCCTGTGTCAGGGGTGAGGATGGTCTGAGTCTCCAGGCTCAGTGTAGCCCCCGGGACAGGTCAGGTCGCCCTCTCCTTCAGGGGTGGCCAGAAATGGAAGGAGGGCTGAGAGCAGCCTTGGAATTTCTTTCCAAAAAGGGCCCCTCACATGGGGCTTTAGAAAAGGGGGAACAGAGTCTCCAAGGCGTTGGAGGGAAGAAGAGTAGCGTCAACTTCATGAGAAAATTAACTCTTCCTCCTGATGCTCCAGCACACACTGGGATTGTACAAACACCCTGCCTCACTTGGCCGAACTTGAGTTTTATTCTTAGCCTTCTGGTTATCCACACAGACTGAAGTCAGACCACTCCTGGGACTCCAGGCTAGTTACTAACCTTAGGCAAGTGATGCCTCCCTCTGGCTGCAGGTCCCTCCCCTCTGTTAGATGAGCATAGTACACAAATTCCACAGCTAAGGACATAGTGCTCATCTGAGCGCACAGCAAAGATGCTGCATGCTGAGGAGACACAAAATGGGCCCTTGATAAAGGAGTTTGTTGATTAAGTTAATATGAAAAGGCTGGGAGTAGCTGGGGGCCAGTGGCTCACACCTATAAACCTAGCTATCTAAGGATCCTAGTTTAAAGTCAGCCTGGGCAAGAAAGTGCATGAGACTTTTTTTAAATCCAGGACTGGAACTGAGGGCCTGGGTGCTATCCTTGAGCTCTTCTGCTCAAGGATAGTGCTCTACCACTTTGAGACATTTTTCTGGTGGTTAAATGGAGATAAGAGTCTAATGGACTTTCCTTCCCTAGGCTGGCTTTGGACCTCGGTCCTCAGATCTCAGCCTTTTGAGTAGTTAGGATTACAGGTATGAGCCACCAGTGCCCCCTTATAAGACTCTTATCTCTAGTTAATTACCACAAAAGTGGAAGTGGAACTGTGGCTTAAGTGGTAGAAGGCTAAACTTGAACAAAAAATGCTCAGAGGCAGCACCCAGGTTCTGAGTTCAATCCCCAGTACTGGCAAACATACACAGACACACACACAGACACACAGACACACAGACACAGGCTGGAGTAGAAGTGGCCTTGGTGCCCAGTTGAAAGAGTGAACCTCTTAAGATATCTTGCTCTTATGAGAGGATTCTAGAAGATGGTCCCGGGACATTCCACCTCACCCTATGACAGTTGAGTGGCTCCTGGAGACAATGGCCAGAGGCTCAGACAGGTATAAATTGTTGACTGACCTCATTTCCTCCTCTGAAACCCTCCCCACCCCCACCCACAGTTGCTTCACAGCTTGTAAGCGTCATGAATTCCCAGAAGCCTATACAACCAAATTTCAGTGTCCGGACTGACCATGTCCTGCAGGCAATAGGAAGTCCTATGGGATTACAGTATCTGCTCATTCAGATGATAGCCGCTACTTTGGCACTCTATTAGTGCATAATGGGGGTGTGGCTACACGCCATCTTTCACACCCACTCTTCCCCCTGCTTGCTATGGCTTCTTGCCAATCTCTCTGGCCCCAAGTCCATGGATTTCTGTCCTGGGAAGTGGGAGTGAGAGCCCTGGGCCAGGATCCCATAGGATCTCCACAGTGTGAATTCATTGCCTGGCTCCTGGGGAAGGCAGCTATGAGAGACTCTGGAGTTGGTCAAGAGCTTGAGAGTCTCTGAAGAGAGGCAGTGGGGATGGGAGGCTTTCTGTGGGCAGCTTTGAGAAGCAGATTAAACGTAGAGGAAAGCGGGGCACCGGTGGCTCACGCTTGTAATCCTAACTACTTAGGAGGCGGAGATCAGAGGAGTCTGGTTCCAAGCCAGCTAAATCCAAGACACTCATCTCCAATTATCTAGCAAATTGCTGGAAATGGAAGTGGTAGAGCACTATCCCTGAGCAGAAAAAAAAAAAAGTGAAGCAAAATTACAAGTCTACAGAAGACCTGGTAGAAGATGATGCTATTCATCAGTGTTAGGCTATCCCCACCTTACCAACCACAAAACCCTCTTGACCCTGACTGGTGCTTTTTTTTTTTGATGGTCCTGGGGCTTGAACTCAAGGCCTGAGTGCTGTCCCTGGGCTTCTTTTTACTCAAGGCTAGCATTCTTCCACAGTGCCACTTCCAGCCTTTTCTCAGTATTTTATTGGGATAAGAGTCTCACAGACCTCCCTGCCCAGGCTGGCTTTGAACTGAGATCCTCAGATCTCAGCCTCCAGAGTAGCTGGGATTACAAGCATGAGCCACCAGTGCCAGATTTGACTGGTGCTTTTGAGCACATTTGCAAGCCCCAGGCTTCCCACAAGCACACAGAGAGCCTTGGGGAGTAGTCAGAGGAAAGTCAGAGAGTTGGAGAAAGCTCTGGGGCCTCAAACCAATGAGGACATAGAAAAGGAATTACACACGGTGTCCAAGTCTACAAGAATAAATTGCTCACAGGGACCAGCTGTTCCCTATATTCAGTGTGGACAGAATGAAAGGAAACAGGCCAAGGGACTCTGATTTAGATTTAGATACACAGAAGGATTTCCCAGCAGTGCTTGAAGCAGAGATCTGAAGGTTCTGGGGAGAATAGGGGTAAAATTCCAAGGAGATCGGCCTCTACTGGTGGTAGGAGACATGAAGTCCAACATGGAGGCAAGACAATGCACCCCTTGACCTTTCAGAACCTGCTGTGTGCATTAAGTTCAAGTATCACTTTTTTTAGTAAACTACCTGCTTCCAGGCTCTGTCACGACAGCTCAGGTCAGAAGGCAGTTTGGGCCAGGTGCTGCTGGTTTATGCCTGTAAACCTAACTTCTTAGGCAAATGAGATTTGAGGATCATGGTTTGAAGCCGTCAGGGCAAGAAAGTCTGTAAGAATCTCACCTCCAATTAACCACCAGAAAACTGGAAGTGGAGCTGTGGCTCAAAGTGGTAGAGTGTTAGCCTTGAGCAAAAGAGCTCAAGGACAGTGCCCAGGCCCTGACTTCAAGCCCCATGACCAACAACAACAACAACAACAACAAAAGGCAGTTTAGTGCCTAGGCCTGGAAGCCAGAGTGCAGCCCGACTCCTCAGGAAGAGGCTGTCAAACACCAGCCAGATTCCCAGACTTGAAGCCGCCTAGTCATCTTCCTCTTCCTCATTGCTCTTCCATAGCTGGTGCTCTGCCCCACTCTGCAGGGGTTTGTCCACTCCCTGCCCACCCTGAACTGGAGATGACTCATCTCAGGATGCAACTTGGGGAGGAAGGGATGGCAGCTGAGGGCAGGAGGGCGGGGCTGAGAAGGCCTCCGTGGGATGCCACGGTCAGTGGGGGGACGGGGGAGGGCATGAAGCCCAGTCCCTGTTGGGAAGCCAGTCAAGACCTATCTCCTTGGATCTCCCTATGCTACATGCTTTCTGGAGCCCCAAACTCTCACTACTAAACCAGTCAGACTACTGAAGAAGAGGAGAGTCAGTGGAAAGAGCTCAAGCTTGGAGTTAGAATGCCACGCTGGGAGCCTCATTTTCCACTTCTGCAGAAGGGGTTGATAACGCTTCCTCTACCATAGGCTATCAGCAAAACATATAAAGAAATCCCATACTGTTGCAAACCCACATCAATGTTGGCTTGTTGGTTAGTAGTGGACAGAGTTGGGAGAGAAGAAAGAGCACTGAATCAGGAGTCAGCAGACAAGAGGCTGTGGGAGAGCTGAGTGGCCTCTGTTTCCTATCTGCTCAAGATAAGTCATAAATATTGCCTTTCCAAGCTACAGGATTGCGGTACAGATGCATGGATAACCATGGGCTGTGAAGTCAAAGGGAGTCACTAGGGGGAAAAAAAAATCAAATCCCAAATAAGCACAGGGTAAAATAAATAAATAGAAGTCTGTGTAAGCGTTTATAATAGGAAGCCAGGCACCAGTGCCTCATGTCTGTAGTCCTAGCAACTCAGAAAGCTGAGATCTGAGGATCTTGATACAAAGCTTGCGTGGGCAGAAAAGGCTGAGAGATATTTACTCTAATTAACCAGCAAAATGCCAGACTAGATGTGTAGCTCACATGGTGGTAGAGTGCCAACCATGAGCAAAAAAAGCCAAGCAATTGAGGGAGGTCCTGAGTTCAAGCCCCAGTATCAACCCCCACACAATAGTTTATTACATCTGTGTCTATCGCCTGACCCTCTCACTGGGATATCCCTTCTCCTAAAGTTTTAGCTGTTGTTCCCTTGGTACTTGCCTCAATCACTCAACAATATGAACACCTAGATTTTAAAATTCAGTGCTTTTATTGTTTGTTTGTTTGGTCTGTTGTAGGCCTTGACCTCACGACGTGGGCACTGTCCCAGAGCTTCTTTTG